GTGACCATGGCCCCGAGCCCACAGGTTATTCAAGACATCATTTGACCAACAACTAGTAACCACCTTTTCACATGGGGTGTCCACAAATAAATAGACACCTGTCAACAGTATTGATGCAGACCAACTGAAGAAGGACAGGAGCGAGTGGGAGGCAGTCTATTCATGCTGGGTGCACACGTCTGTGTCATCCCTAGGTGGTGCCTTCTCTGGGATCCATTCTCTCAACTCAGGATCCAGCAGCCTTTCATTTACTTACAAAGTTTGATGTGCATACTCCTGCCGGGTCATGGCTGAAACGTGGTGTCACTGGTCGATGACGAGGCTTCCTCTCCCAAATAACCCAGGTCAGCTGGTCCTGGCAAAGTCTGTTACTTGCATGCAAAAGCTGAACAATGAAAAGGGAAGACCTAAGAAGAATCGATGTAGATGAATCATGGTGTTGGTGAGGAATACTGCATATACCATGGGCTGCCCCCTGGGGTTACCTAGGCTGTAAATCTTTACAGAAGCCAACTGACAGACAGACCTTCTATCCCTCAGAGTTGCTGGGTGAGTTTGAATTGCTGACCTTTTGGTTACACACACACACACACACACTGCCATCGAATCAACTCCAATCCATACAGCGGGGAGCTAAACCTTTGCCCCACCAGGGTTCCCCAGTAAAATAATAACTGAAACCATTTATTTCACATCTGTTATATGTCAGGCACCATTGTAGACAGTTTATAGAAAGATATGCTGAAGTCCTAATCCCTGTATCTGTGAATATGAAGTCATTTATCCTAAGAGGGAAGAAAAAGAGCCCAGATTCAACCATGTTCTATAAAGGCTCTTTTGTCAAGCCTTAGACAAGACCAAGACAAACACAGTCACGCAGGTTGAGGGAAGCCATTAGCATGTACACGGTACAGAAAGCTGAACGGACTCCACCGAGTCATTGCAGCTGCGGATGAACCCAAATGGACAAGAAGGTAGACAGGGAGCAATGGAGAAGGGCTGTGGGAAGAGGATTGTAGAGGAAGCCTGGAGACACTCCCCCCACCCAACCTGGAGTGCACCATCATGGGCTGCTGGTCATTGGCCCCTCAGTCTGCCAATCAAAGCCAGCCCGGAAAATGCAGGCACAGAACTCTGGGCTCTAATACGAGATGTTTCTTCCCCATCAACGCTAGCTCTGCTGTCTTCTCCACTTACTTAACCGGACTCTGGAAAAATCAGAAATGCCTCAGAGATGGACCCTCTCTGCCTTGCCATTGACGGAGAAATGGAAAAACCTGTAAACACTGAGCCGGTGGGATTGCTTCAACATTGAGATATTCCATCATCCTTGGGATTCACAGTGGGGAAACATATCGACTGATTCTGAAAATGCTCACAATTTCATGTTAACTTAAAGACACAAACGCAAAGCTGCATTTGATAGAACCACAGTTATGCAAAAGTACAGAATGTATGCTTTTCATAGCTCAATTGATAGGCTGAAGGTAGACATAATATGTGCAATAGTATACATGCGTTTTTCATGATGTACTGTGGAAAACATGTCACATGGGAACAGTGCTCTTCATACAGTACTACATTGTCAGTGAAGGCAAACATGGGTACATAGGTGGATAGATGGGTGGACAGGCTGAACTAGGAGGTATGTCTACGAAGCGGGAAGTGTACCCAAGACCATATATAGGGTTGACAGACAATGGTCCTATAAGTTTATGTGTATGATCTGAATTCCCAGGTGTATAGTAGAGCTGACAAGGGGTGGGGTTGTAGTCACTGCTTGGTCACAGCCAGCTACCCAGAGGGACTGAGTGGTTGAGCCTGTGGGCTCAAAGCCATGATCGTGGAGGACATCGGGCTCAGTTGGCATAGCATACTACACAGAGCATTGTTCCACCTCCTACTTTGGCGAGTAGTGACTGGGATCTTAAAACCTTGCAAGCTGCCATCTGGATGCAGAGATGGGTCTCTCCTCGTCCAGGGCAAAGAAGAATGAAGAAAACCAAAAATTAATGGAAACAATTAGTCCTAGCAACTGGTACACCATCCGATCTGCAGCTTATACAACTATGGGACCAGAAGAACTAGATGGTGCCTAGCTACCATTGTCAATCACTTGGAGGGGGATCTATGTAGGAGGTCCTGGATAGAGAGGGAGAACAATATGGAACACAACTCAAATTCATTTGGAGGAAAAAAAAGGGGGGGAGACCAGGTTTGCTGGTCTGATGGAGCCTGGTGGAACCACTGAGACTATGGCCCCTGGCTGCCCTTCAGGTCTGGAAATGAGCCCACACCTGTGGCTTCCAGCCAAGCAAAGGACAGGCATATGAGTTGAACATTTACCTGAGGTGGATACACTCCTTGGAGAGAACAATCATGGGAGAATAGAAGGGCTGCTTATGCACAGGGAGACAGCTCAGGGGGCAGGAGTGCATGGAGGGATGGACACAGGGAAGAGGTGACTATGGGGAGGAA